GGAAATGGGTCCAGCTCCAATGACACGATGGGCCCAATCAGGGACATTATGCAAAGCCTTCCGCCTCTTTTCAGCACAATCCATGAACAGACTGGCATTTCACCGCCGACTTGGTTGGCCCAGATGCCTTCTGGTCAACAAAGTCAGTGATGAGCCAGACTAGAAACTTGGTGGACTTGGTGGACTTTGGGCTGTTTGGGGTTGTTTAATAGAAGGTCACAAATCGCCCCTTTTTTTTTTTTTTTTTGGTTCTCAATATTTGTCCTTTCTTTTAGAATCACACGTTCGCAGCCTTTAACTAGATATGTATTCATTTTCAGTAGACAACTCTTGTTCTCCCTCCTTCGAAGTATCTTGTGAGATATATTGGCATTAGCCAGTCATGCCGCAGTTCCACAAATATATTCACAGTTCCACCATGATATTAAGAACCCCAGACACTGGAAGGACCATCATTCAATGTTTATCAGCCTGTTATTGTCCATTAGACAAAATAAAGGTAGCCCTCAATCAATAATAGCCAATTGAGGATTTTCTGCGATTCTTGGATGTCTTCATTGTCGTGTATCTATTTGACCAATAAGATCATGTGACAGGCATCATCCGCCTTCGGCCATTGTCATCGCCAGTTGCACGTCCTCATCTCTTGTTCAATCCGAGTACATAAGACTATGGGGATGATTGACTGTTGGCGGTTGGTATATATGCTTTGGCGTCCTTTTATCCTTACCTCGTCTAATACTTCCGGATCTTTAATTTTCTCTACCTTCTTCATGCCATCGTCTTTGCTCTTATCTAGCCTTCCATCACATCCAGGATAATGCCGCCGCCGTCGCTACTACAACTTTGCACCTCGACTGCCATTAGGAACGTCAAATGTCAGTTTTAAGTGCGACTGCTCCCTTACTGGAACATTGTCTAACAGTATTTCTAGATTTGAACGATATTGGCAATGTCCCCTATTCGCTTGCTCGTCCGTTCCTTCTTAAAATCGAGAGCCCCGAGAAACTCGTGAGTGGTAGCTCCTATTTACATATTGTTGGATCGATTGGCTGACGCTCAACCTCTTGCGCTATGTTAGAGATCTCTAGAATTGCTTTCGCCGCATATCATGGAAGAGGATGCCGAACTCTGGCTTGATTTCATTAAAAGGGATATACCAAGCTGGGACGAATACGATCTGCCGGAACAGCCCGATTGCTGGTACGATGTATACTGCGATCTCCAGCAACGTGTCCAAAAAGCAGTGGAGGAGGATGCAGAGAAACTCAAGATGGCTCTCGATGGCATCAACTCCGAGCGTGCCAAACATAGCGCTAAGTTCGTCACTGACCGACGGATTATTCCGCTGCCTCGAGAAAGGCCAACCGCGAAGCAACGGTATGCTTCATTCGACAGGAAAATGGGAGGTCTTACGCCAAGATTTGCTTCTCCAAGGGGCGGGATGGGTTCGTCTGATCCGTTGGGCGCACCTGTCTGGTCATATGAGCGACCACAGCTTCCTCGGCCGGAGAAGAAGAAGAGCAACATCTTCAACCTGACGAAGAGAAACCCTGTCCTGGCCGTACCAACCAAGCAACTAAACAACAGAGCCAGTCAGGTTAAACAGGCTCCTCTTTCTCTGATTGAGGAGCACCGAAGACCTCCCGATCCAGTTGTTCCTCGGCGCATCGCCCCTCCAACTTTAGTAGCACCCGGGCGATCGAGGCTACAGAACACTCAGTCCTCTGGAGGGCCTGGCAATTTTGTTGTTAGCGCGTCATTGCGCGAAAGAGAAGCGAGGCTCCGAGCGTTGACTTCGGGGAAGCAGACGGGCTCATCAACGCCGAAGTCTTCTGAAAACTCGCCAAATCCGGCTACTGCGCCATACCGAGCATCAGCAACTGCCGCAAGTAGAAACTTGCAGAATCCTCCCTCCTCATCTACGACTCAAGAATCGTCTGATTCTCCTCTGGCGGGCCGATTAGAGGGCACGAATGAGCCGGCGACTGCTGAGAGTACCAAATCATCTCTGCTGGAGGCGATTCCCGAGCCCGACAACTCGGGGGTTCCTCCCGCTCAACCGCCGCGCGCATTCATGCGGAAGAGACCGGCACCGAGTCTGTTCATCCAGCCAAAGAAGAAAAAGGTCAATTGACGATGTGCAAATTGTTCATGGTCCAGAGATGACTCTTTTATGGGCATACATGGCTTCGGACTGTTGGTTCTTTTTGCTGGCATTTTTGACATTCATCGAGGGTTATCATTTCTCTTCGTTGGCAATATTGGTCGACTCCTTTATTTTCATCACCGAATCTTTTTTTGGTCATCGCGGGATTTAGCAATTATATCTATATGGAGTTGGATGGGATTGGTGCAAATACGATACAGCGACACTTTCCTACAGCGTGATGATGCATGACACGATCTAGTTTAAAGCTTAGAATTAAACCGTCTCTCAGAGCGAGTGAGCAAGGGATTGCCACCGTTCCCTTGATGTGTACATTCAATGTTGTCATTAATGCGTTCACATGGTCAGTAGTAGAAAGACGTCTAGGCTTAAAAAGAAGACATCATGCAGCACCTGGTGTGCAGAAACTGTGCGCGACGTCGAGGATTAAATGCTCTTCCACTTCGTTCGTCACAGCAAATTCTCAGTCGCCCCCTCCTTCTCAACATGACTCGGGTATAGTATGAGTGAAGCTTCATATGCCGTCCTGGAGCCCTCCTGCGCTTTATGATCCGTGTGCTGCAGCTCCAGCTCATAGTCTATTCGCGTAAATCTTCATGGCGTCAGCCGTATTGAAGGAATCCATTAAGCGTCGCAGCCACCGCGCAGAGCAAGAACAAGATGCAGCGTCGCGCCGCCTTCTAGGTTATATTCCGCAGCAGTCTTGTCGTCGGCCCTTCAGGTGCGAACATCGTCAGCCTTATTGCACCAGCCAGCACATTTCATAGTAACACGACATCGACATACATTTGTTTTCCGCCGAAAATCAGCCGTTGTTGAACAGGGGGGATACCCTCCTTCTCTTCCACGCGCTCTTTTATCCGGGACACCTGGTACAAGTCTCAGTATATGCTTTCGCAGAATCCATCGGTATGCTGGGTGCAGGTCTGCTCTTGTTCTGTTCACGGTGCCGACGACGTTGTTGGATAAGGCGGAGTCACACAGTGGCAGGGACCACAGCAAAAGGGGAGCGGAATATGGAACAACCAAGTAAGTACCTTGTAATCAGGCTCGATGTCCAGTTCGATTTCCTTGCCGGTAAGGGTACGGACTCTAAAGTAAACCATCGGTTAGCATAGGCCAGGTCTCCAGTGCCAGACAAGATTGATCAGCCCAGTCGCTTGCAGCTGTTTACTCACTTGATCAACATTTTCAGGGATAGTCGGTGAAATACAGCTGAAGGAAAGCAACAAGTAGCTGCTAACGCGCTAAAACGAAGATAATTGTATTGAGGCGAGCAAGAGTAGTGAGATGACGGTGGTTGATCGGAGATGATGGTGACGGAAGGCTTCGCCGTAGCGGGGTTATCGGTGGGGCAGTAAAGAAGGGGACGTTTGATTGTTAGAGGTAGCCTAACAGGACAACTCTTGGTAGCTGTATAGCCTGTTTCAGGGACAGCCTTTTGAAATGGGATTTATGTCAGTGTATGATATCCTTCATGTATTATCGTTTAAGCTACACACAGGCAGTGTTGAAATGTCTGACCTCTACTCTGTTTATATGCAGAAGTAGCCAATTGTGACTCGATGCTGTGCATGCACGAGCAGGTATATATTTTGCTATTTTTTGGCGCTGATACCAATACCAAGATCGAGTTGAATTTCAACCTTTGACAACAACATTGCAAGTACACTTTCTCCAATATGGCGCAAGACTCAAGCCCAAACCCCTTTGACGAATTGATCTCCAAGTGTCAAGGCAAGCCGGTAATTGTCCACAGCCTCATCTGGAATTGTAGTTATTGACTCAAGTAGGCTCAGGTTCAAGCTCAATATGAAGCGCACCGGTCTACAAGGAACGCAAAGTCCAAGGCCCACCTCCTCAGCCCGGACTTCACAGGATGGCAGGTTGACGAAATCCTGAAGAAGCTACATGTACAAACGACTATACCCAGCCATGAGGGCCAGACACCTTTCATTGATCACAGAAACAATCTCAACTTTTACGCACGACCACCACAGCATATAAAGGAATTGATTGCCGAGGTTCAGAAAGAAATCCAGAGTGTTGTGCCAAGTGAGCTATCAACAGCTTCTGTCTCCCGAGCTATAGCTGACCGTTGATAGACATATGGCTTACACCACCAGACTTCCTACATACGACGGTCCTTGAGATAGCCAGTTCCCGGACTTCTTTGGAGGTCGACTCTTTTGTGTCTCATATAGAGAAGAGCGGTGTGATTTCTGATTTAGTCAACTATACCTTCAACCACCGGGCACGGCTGGTCAAGCCTGTTGTCAGCTTCGACGCCGCAGCCATGGCCCTCAGCTTTGTTCCTGCAGCTGGAGAGCCATCACGATGGAGTCGCTCCGCGGAAGACGACAAATATACGTATCATCACCTGCGACGAGACCTGTATGCTGGGGTCGCAGCTACGGGGTTACAACTCAAACCTAGGTACCTAGTACCCTCGGCGCATATCACGATTGCGAGGTTCATCACACATGATGGATTTTTGCTTGAAAAGTTGGGCCCGGTTGGAGAACCGGTGTACGATCGTGAGCGCGTTGCGGCTTTGGTAGACAAGATCGAACAAATCAACCAGACAATTCAAGCAAAGTACTGGCCTGGAGAGAACCGGACTGTATCTGCTGGAGCAGAATGGGTTGTGGGAGAAGAAACGGGGTTAGAAGTCTGCAAGGGTCCATGTTGGTACGGGGAAGGAGAGAAAGTGCTTGTCGGGAAAGCATTTGTGCATGAGACTATAGTTCGGAATTAGTGGACAAGACATCCTACAAGACAGAGCTGCTTAATCACAGAGAATCCCCGTTTGTAGGGCGAGCTGAGAATAATGGCGGGTAATGACGGGAGTGATGCCTGGGGCAGCCAGAGGTCTTGGCGCGCACGCCAGAAGCGGTTAGTGCCCACCCGAAATAGGGCCCTAAGCGAACGAAATCCCACAACCCACGTAGAGTCCGACTTGCTCCTCTCCGAGAAGAGACTACCAACGACCAACAATCTCGCGATCCGGCCAAGCTCAGTCAAAATGGTAAGAACATTTCTGCGTTATTCTTGCTCGCATGCTGTTTCCATCCTGGAGATTCAGAGAAGTTCTGTCGAAAACTCGGTACTTGGCGATGAAACGACATATTTGTTCTGGTTGAGGACGGAGAAGTTGCGGACAAAGGGAAAAACGGATGAAAATGCTATCGATCGCAACCACGATAAAATTCGCTCGGATATGAGAAAATGAACTATGTTCATGTGTCAGAGTTTAGAGGAGAAAATATGGGATATTCCTCGACGCGATGAGGACGCAACGGACGCCCGGATAAGAAAGACTCAGCGCATCAAACACGAAAAATAAGGACGAATAATCTCGCCCCAGAAGAACTTGTGACCTATAGTCTGCCGGGAATCTCAATCTCTTCCTATCACAACCGGTGCCGAGTTTGATAGGATTCTCCGATGACCGGGACATGGAAACAGGCAGCACCAAAAAATTGTTGGATTATTGCAGATAGTTGCTGATAGCTCTTGCGCTCCAGGTCAACGTTCCCAAAACCCGCCGGACGTACTGCAAGTCCAAGGAGTGCCACAAGCACACCCAGCACAAGGTCACCCAGTACAAGGCTGGCAAGGTGATTACAACCCGCACGCCATAGTAGACGAGTTGGCACAGGCACTGATGATGGATCTATTAGGCCTCCCTGTTCGCCCAGGGTAAGCGTCGTTACGACCGCAAGCAGAGCGGTTACGGTGGTCAGACCAAGCCTGTCTTCCACAAGAAGGCCAAGACCACCAAGAAGATCGTCCTGCGTCTTGAGTGCACTGCCTGCAAGGCCAAGAAGCAGCTCGCTCTGAAGCGTTGCAAGCACTTCGAGTTGGGGTACGTTGAGTCCGCGAATGTGGCAATACCTGATCCATGCATACTAACGTACGCTTTTTGCTGTTTAGTGGTGACAAGAAGACCAAGGGTGCTGCTCTTGTTTTCTAAATTTGCAATTTCCTTGTTCGGCTCTGGGTTTCGTGCATTGCAGACCGGTCTACTACTCCGGCGGAGGGCATATGACATTGGCAATGGAAAAAATGAAATAGGAATTCATATTCACAAAATGACAATATGACTCCTAGATTATGAGTCTCTTCACGAAATTCTCTTGTGTTCCATGTAGACCATCGCGTTAGCCTCTCAACCTTGGCAATGTTTTTGCAATGCGCCCTGCCAATGACAATCTGGTCTTTCTCAAATCCCGAAGCAAGGACCTATTGACGACCTGTGACAAGATCATATTATCAGGCAGAACAAGCATACAGCCTCTAATGTGACTAGTACCTGAATAGTTGTGTCTGTGCCGCAGACTTGGAGAGGAAATCATGTCCATTTCCACCGAGTCTAGCTTGTTTGAGCGTGGCTACACAAACCGAACGGTACTTGTGTTCTTGAGCAATATCTTCGTTCTATGCATCTTCTCGTTATCATCGAAAATGCAGCGTCCTTTTGCCAGAGAGTAGGACAGAAATACTACTAAAAGAATGAACGAGTGGTCCTCAATCACCTCAACTACAAACACACCTTGATCACCAACGGACTTTGTCCGACTTGATATCGATGACAACTCTCACTGTTATCGTGCATTTAAGTTCGGACATTAGTATCGTGAAGTTGTCCAAAACAAGACAAAAAGTCCATCTTCTCTGCTATCAAGTAGGACCTGTCATTATTCCCACCCCACCCTCAACACAGCTCTGCTGCTCCCTTGCGCTGTGATCTTTGCTGATCATTATACTTGACAGATACTAGGGATAATAGCTCTGGCTAAACTTCAAAAGCATGATTCATTTGCTTTGTGAGTGACGCCTTTCATCGCTAGCCCAGCCATTGCACCACGTCCATTGGTCTACACGATGCGGAGTAAACCGCCATCAAAGGAACCCCCACGAATGACTCGGATATCCCCACGTCGTCCATTCTGGCTGAACTTTGCTGAATAAATGGACCTGAAGCTAGAAGCACGAATCTCGGTGTTATCTACCCCAGATTGAGTGACCCCATGGGGGCCTGCTTCTCGGCCATCCTCCGAGTGGGACTGACAGTTACACACCCTCGGCTTGCTGTCGGACAGTATACAACCGCCAATCTATTGCCTATTTTGATATTGGAGGTCGATGTATAAATGGCGGTGGATGCTGGGGATCTGCGCCTGTCCGACAAACTGTCGTCCTGCATCTTGCACCTCGGAACATTCTTGCGGACTTTATGAACTCGGATTGCAAGATGACGGAGTGGTATACTTTGAGTATCGCCCTTTTTGCGGCCATCGGGACATTTCTTTTTGTATGTATCTGATGATTATGGCATGTTAGCTGTGCTAAACGCAGAGCAGGGCTTTGATACAGGAATTGCCACAACAAGTAAGCAGGGATTGCGCTACTCGATTCGATATCTTGCAAGGGGCTAACCCTGTAATTCTGTCAGCTATTGCTCATGGAAGCTGGATCAACTATATGGGCCACCCGTCGGCCGGCCTCACCGGAGCGGTATGCTTAGATTCTCCACAATGTTCAGGATGATTCTGACACAGCCAGGTTGTCGCCGTTTACATCGCCGGCGAGGCACTCGGCGCCCTCACACAGACCGCGATCGGCGATAGACTGGGTCGACTTCGGTTCATGGCGCTGATGTGTGTGGTCGTCACGATTGGAACGACTATCCAAACAGCGTCAGTCAACATTGGGATGTTCCTGGCCGGTCGTGCCCTTGCCGGATATGCCGTTGGGTAAGAAGCCCTCCCATGACTCTATGTAGAGTCTCCTCGGCTCACTCATTTGCAGAGGAATGGTAGCCACTGTACCCATCTACCTCAGCGAGATCTCAGACCCGCGCCATCGAGGCCTCATAGGAGGTATCTCAGGTTGCGGAATCTCCTTCGGAACCATGGCATCCAACTGGGTCGGCTTCGCCTGTAGCTTTGCTCCCTATGGACCCGTGCAATGGCGACTGCCGCTGGGCATTCAGATTCCCTGGGGCATCGTCATGTTCGTTGGACTGGTCACATTCATGCCAAACTCGCCGCGGCACCTGATCCGCAACGGCAAGATCGAGCAGGCGCGCAGCGAGTTTGTGCGGATCCGGAGGGATCTCCACTCGGATGATGTGCATCGGGAGTTTGAGCTTATGCTTGTGCAGATCAACTACGAGAAGGAGCGGGAGATCACTTCCTACCGGGAGATCTTTCGCCTGTTCCGGCACCGTGTGCTGGTGTAAGTACTGCTGGCCAGATAGAGATACTTCAGCTGATAGATGTAGCTCGATTGCCGTGCAGACGATGACTAGTTTGACTGGCGTGAATGTCATCCAGGTATGTCTGCCATGTCATTTGCTCCAAACCATCGGAGACTCTACTAACACTGGCATACAACTAGTACTACCAAAGTGAGACAACCTGCCTAAGCTGACTTCCTAAGCCGGAACTAACCACATCACAGCAATCCTCTACAAATCCCTCGGCATTGACTCGCACACCATCCTGGCCCTCGCCGCCGTCTACGGCACAATCGCCTTCCTAACTAACTGCCTCACAACCAAATACCTCACTGACCAATGGGGTCGCCGAAAGTAACCACCTCTGCCATCCAAATCTCTCCAGAACTCAAACTAATCCACGTCTGCGTCATAGAATGATCCTCACCGGCCTAGGCGGCATAATCCTCATCGAGATCTACGCCGCAGTCATGCAGCGCGAATTCCAGAACACAAATAACCGCGTCGGAAAGGGCTTCGCGATACTGGGTATCTACCTGTTCGTCGTGATTTATTGTACGTCCTCCCTCTCCCCTACCTAACGCTCGCGGTGCATCCCATGCCGGTTACCAGCATGGAATGAAAGAAGAACCGTACTAAAGAGTCCCAGACGGCATGCTAAACAGCACAACCTGGCTCTACGGCGCTGAGGTCCTCCCCATCGCGCTGCGAAGTAAAGTAATGGGGCTAGCGGCCGCCTCGCATTTCATCGTCAATGTAGCTGGTCTGTTCCCTCGACTCTCCCCGCTGGCTAAATGACCAAAAAGCTAAGAGTATCCGAATGTGCAGTCACCGAAGCAGGGCCCAGTGCGTTTGCGAACATCCGCGAGAACTACTACTATGTCTTCGTGGCGTGTACGGCGTTCTTTTTCGTGGTGGCTTATTTCTATTTCCCGTGAGTTATGCATTGTTACTGGTACTCGGTACTTGGTTGAGGTGTACTGATATACTGCTAGTGAGACGAAGCAGAAGACTCTCGAGGAGATTGCCGCGTCTTTTGGTGATAAGGTTATTATACCTGAGGATCAGGGTGATGAGCAAGGCGAGGACGATGAGGATGAGGATGAGGATGAGGATGTGAAGAAGGTCAAGTCGAATTCTCAGCGAATTGAGGTGGCTGTAGCTGGAAGAGATGATTCTGTTTAATCTTGATGTTTCATGGTGATTTTGTTTGATGGTCTGCCGTGAGGGATATGCGTGTATGCGAAGCAGGACAAGTATTGTCAAAGTGCTTGCCACACGCTGTTCGAGTACTCCTGACCATATGCACAATGGTTCGTCAACGGCTGGCAGACCTTCCATAAGTGCCTCCTCAGGCTTGAAATGCGGCAAGTCCCTGTAAACGTCCTCGTAACTCCCAAGAATACACGCGCAAGCAACTGGCTTCGCTATACTTCGGACTCTCCGCTCCAGCTCTCTGTGTGCGGCCTGAAATCAACCCGAATATGGGCACCATATGAGCCAATGTCTACCACCGGGAATACAAAGCCATGAACATTTGTGAATGCGACTCCTGGACGATCATCAGCCATAATGCAAACACTGAATACAAATCTCAGAGAGACTGACCAAGCGATCGGCCATTCTTAAAGTACTCTAGCTTTCCACTGGACATCTCGACGCGGCAGCCTATTATGTCCCCATTTCCGAATATCTCTGCGTAGGGCTGGCCTTGTGAAGCAGCATCAAATTTCTTTCCATCGTCTCCATGATAGCCCCATGACGAGCCTTCATATCCGGCTATTCGCTCTAGGGCAGAGTCCTCCCTATAGACACCTAATGCTATCGCGCTGTTAAACAATACAAATTTAGCACATCCGTTCAATTCTTGGGGTTAATGGACCAACCAACCCACTGTGACCTGAACTGATTACCTCCATCTCAAAGTAAAAGCCATCTTCCAAAGGAGAAATAGGTTTGTTTGCATGCACTGACCAAACACAACTGGAGCTGCCATCCCTAGACAGATAGGAAGTGTCAATGGCACATTCTATGGTCACCACAGCAAAGGGCTCAGATCATAGTCCTCACTAACCTTTATTTGGAGGCCTAACATACCTCATCTCCAAAATCTATCACAGTCCAGCTCTAAAACACCTGACTTTCTAATGCCACTAAAAGATTAATGTCACTAAAAGATGTCGGAGTGAAGTCCGTGGCAGTGTCAGGGTCATGTGGCAGAAGAAGTCGAACGGTATCAACGCGGCCATTGGCAAATGCCGCATCCAAGGGCGTCCAGCCAATATTACTTTTGGCAGTGGGATGGGCGCCTTTAGCGAGCAGCAATCTGACAACCTGGATATCACCGTTCCAAGATGCTGCATGTAGTGGTGTCCAACTGCAGCGATTTGCAGAAACAGCACTGGCTCCATTTGCAAGAAGCTGCTCCACATTCTCTATATCGCCCTTCCAAGAGGCTGTTTGTAACTCATGATCCTCGATTGAATCTGGCGCCCCAAGTGCCCCAAGAGCAGCGCCATCACTTCCTTCCCTTTTCTTCCATTTCCTGCTGCGGCTTTGATCACACCCTTAGAGACCTGGATCTGGTCTCCTAGTCATTCCAGGAGCAGTGCCATCACTTCCTCTCCATTTCCCCTATTCCCGGCTGCGACTTTGGCAACATCCCCAGTGATCTGAACCTCTTTGTCTTCGTTGATCCAGGAGTAGTGCCATCACCTCCTCCCCTCCCCTATTTTCTGCTGCAACTTTGACCACATCCTCAGTGAGATGGATGTGTCGCGTCCAGTGTAGTAGCGCATATTCGAGGAATCGGCCTGTTTTGTGACGCGTCTCCGACTTTCCTCCCTGCCGAAAGGTTCTCTGAAGAAGTTGATGCGTCGATTCGCCATTGAGGCGTGAGCTTTCGGATCATTTATAGGAAGCCCACTTGAACGACCAAGCAGGAAGTCTCTCACAGACTTATCCAGCAGCTGTACAGTATCATTCTCGATGACGACCATCAGGCGGCACGTCTCGATGTGCTCTTCGGTTTGTTCTCACGGGGATCATCCTCTCCATCTGGACACAACTGACAAGCTTCAGCCGATTCCAGCGCACTCAATGGTCGGCGTGATATCGCGACATAGTTTACGATTTGCATAATCCTTTCAAGATTTTCTTCTTTTTGTGTAAATTCAAGAGCTGCGTCAAGTAGCGGTTTATATAGCTCTTCAAGGCCCTGGGGTAAGCTCGATAGTTTCTTGACAGCATCTTTCGAAGGTACACCGATCAATGCGCTGCAGGCTATGCCAACCCACAAGGATGTCTTCTCTGCCTTCGCATGTAGGATTTGGGAGACCTCTTCTGCGGTTTCCCGTGGGTATCTCAGGTCGTTGGCCAGTTCTTCGACTTTTTCTTTAATGGAGGTATCAAGGTCATCCGCCATGCTAGTGTACAATGCCAGGTCCTTAGAGTCAAACTCACGCAGGCGTCGCTCGATCTCCAGATATTTTCTGCTGATGATCAAAATGTTAATTTTGGGTTGGGAAATCCTGGACGTATCGCTGAATTCCCCTTTGTTTTGGCCGAACAGAATTTTCCATGTATCGTCACACTCATCCAAAGCATCGATAATGCGATATTTGGCTCCAGCGACAGTATCACTTCCGATGTCCATCAATATGGACCACAAAGTATCAAATGACTGCAAATTCCCATGTACTTTCACGTAGGCAGGTAGTAGAAATCTGGTCAACTGGGGTTGTTGCGTGATGAATGGGTAAATAAGATTCCGTAGGATAGAAGTGGCTGTCGTCAGACCCTTGGAGCTCGAGTCGCAGAAAGAGTAGGCAAGAAATTTAGCTCCATTGACGAAACATGGCAGCTTTAGCAGCTCTTCAATCATGGTGATCTGAGTTCACCCTTGTCCGGGAGAGGGCCCGGGACGTCAGCGCCGGCGCGGAGTCCAATTTTCTTCTTAAATGGAGCGAGAAGGAGAGCACCCATCTGATCCTCCGCGACCACCGGTGTTCTCGTGCGTCGCAAGAAGCCAGAAGAAAGTCACATATAGCGAGCAGGAGGCGGCCAAACCCCATCTACCACCCCGTTTGCGTCTTTTGACCAAGCCGCCGCTCTGTGAAGCATCTCCAGCTCAGATGTATGTCGATACGGCCGATGTCTTGCTTCTGCTGGAGAAAGATCTCGCTGCGTAAGGCGAGCGAATAACGTCGGCGCAATGTGCTTAATATGCACCTTCAGAGGTCTTGCCGTCTCACCTGGCTCTAAAAGCCAAACAAGCGGTCTTGCTGCACCTTGAGATTGTATAGTTTCCTCATCCACATACAGAAAGGCATCCAATCGCAGGCCCTGGGGGAGCTCGCCTCCATCACGCATGGAGAAAAACTGAGATTGAAGAGCAGCAACATTATTATCACCATCATCAGATACATTACTACTCTCCACATAATAAAGAGTAAATTTCGCCATAATCCTCTCATTAATAACCTGCGGCCTAGAATGTAATCCATGATAAACAGCTATGTCAATCTGCTCCTTGAACGACGGCCACTCAGGCATATTTCTCGGGAAGAAAATCAGAAGCCCACAGATTGCCGTCTGGGTTTGAGATAGAACATGCTCCTGCCATGGGACACGTAAAGCAAACTGAATATTCCGGACATCATCGTTGCTCAGGGTTTTCGACGCCTCGCTCTGGATATTTCCCCATCTTTTCATGACATTACGGGCGTTCTCCTGCGCGCGTTTCATCTCCTCTGTGGTAGCTGCGGCCCTGGCTCTCTGCCAGAGTTCACAATCAGTAGCACTGAGCCGCGCCGCTTCGTGTATGAGTCTCTCATTCTGGGCAGAGTCAACCCCAGCGGCTATTATTACAGATTCTTTGTAGGTTAAAGAGTCTCCGTTTTCGATGGCCCTTTTGATAAGTTCAGACAGGCTTTGTCCACAGCGCCCGCGACAGAGAGCATCCTCCTCTTCTGGCGGAGGGCGGCGGGTGATTATTCTTCGCTCTTCGTCTGTAAGGGAGGAGGGGTTGGTAATAGCTCGATTGTAAAGAGTACGAGTGGCTTCATCGAAGGTGATAGGGGTCCTGTCTATGTTGAGTATGACGTCTCCGTCGAACAGTCGAATAGGTATGGACATGTTGAATGTTTCTTTTTCCTTTCTTTTTCATGCAGTGACTGTGTAGTGGGATGTTAAATGTTTTTTCTTTGCAACAACACTTGCAGAACAGCAGAATAACCAAGTCGACTCATTATTATTATTATTGTTGTTGTAATTGTGCCCCTCACAGCTGGACTAACCCTTGATTTGGACTGTGGCTTTGAAGAATTGTTGGAAGCGACGGAAGAGATAATGGAAGATGTACTACGATCGACTTCTTCTTCCATGGAAGCAACGAGGGATTGGCTGAGGATCCTGGTTAGCAGAGATTCGGGGTTCTCCGTAGTGTAGTATCCATTTGATCGGCGAACATACCGCCGTATTTTTGTTCCAGTCTCGTGGTTATGTGGTTACCAGCCGTATATACTCCGTACTTTCTGTCATTTCACTTTTGGTCCTTCTTGGTTCCCGGGAACGCGAGATCACACAGCCCAGGGCCACTAGAGACCACTTAAAGAATGCTTATGCGCCCTGAATCATCCTCTACAAGACGAGTTTCTTAAATTATCTTTAGTGAGCCTGCAAAGATAAGCATAAATAAGGGGACTGATTAGATCCACACTGTGTGGGATAATGCCACGCCCATATTCTAAAACAAACAATTTCTGGTATGATGTTGTTCATGATGCCTGTGACTGTAAAGGACTCTGCTAGTAAGGGTGGCCTTGAAATTGTGTTGTAAATCCATCGTGAGATTAAATCTTTTGTATGAGACATGTCTTTTTTGATCAGTCTTCACAGACGTGCTTAGGCACCTTTTCAACAGGGATGGCATTATTGCACAGCTCTTTTTTGTATCTGATGCCCATGGCGCTAAGTGACATGGTTAATGGTGTGGAAATGTTGAACGGATGACGTGGTGGTAATATGATAGAGTCTCAGGTTCTGCTGCTAAGTTATGTATTAAAGCCGTAAAGGGGGATTATTATGCCTCGGCTAATAGAGTCGATTCTGATTCCCATCATAAATATCAGGTAGTATATTTATACCATTGATTAGTAATAATGATCGGGCAGACCATACCTTCCCTCCGCCAGGCGCTAGACCAGGCGCGCTGGAGGCTTCTCTTGACGCCTCTGCGTCCTAGTTTCCATCACACAGTCTGCTGAAGACAGCGGTCATCTGATTGTTAATTGAGTCTTGCAGACTTATACATCGGACCAAACACCATGTCAAGGCCAAACCCTAGTATCCCAGCAAACCCAAGAATATGTTCGGATCTCAAGGAATTCCTTCGGCCACTTTATACGGAACTCGATACGCTATATAAGCTATCTTACCGCCTCTCTTTGTCATATCAGAAGTTAGCTTCAACCTCCTTAGAGCAGTTTTTCCCCACGGCAATCACATGTCTTCCCACAGGGCACGAAACGGGCCGCTATCTAGCGGTCTATGTTGGTCTATCGTATCTAAGAATCGCCTTCATTGACCTGTTGGGAGATCAACAGCTTGAGGGCCACTCACGCGTAAGGCGAACATTGGAGAAGGCATGGCCTATTGAAGAGCACTTGCGACGAGATCACGCCCGGGACCTGTTCACTTGGATTGGTGACTGTATTGCCGAAGTAGTGGCGGATAGTCTCGCCAATCCAAGCGAGAAGATGCCTAGCGAATTGACTACAGGCATTTCACTCTGTTTTCCTGTTAAGTACATGATAATCCCTCCGTCTGTTTCAATATAGCATTTATCTAACCAGAGGATAGGCAAAAATCTCTAGATGAAGCCACCTTAATGTCGACTGGGAAAGGGTTTGCCTTGGATTCAGACCTGAACCTTCGCCAGGCGTTGCTGAGTGGATACGAACGGCACACCCGTCGTCTTGATGAGGACAATGGACCAATACCAGCTAAAAAACGGAAGCTGTACTGTCTGCCCTCATTAAAAATCGCAGTCATGACCAACGACACCGTGGCGACCCTCGCCTCTCTGGCATACTTTATGCCATCTCTGCCGAACACTCGCGTGGTCATGGGGCTGATTGTAGGCGCCGGTTGTAATGCTACTGTTCCTTTTAGAATCACTGATCTCCATGAGTCAAAGACTCGTCATATACGTGCTAGGGAGCCTGATGCGATAGAAACGCTAGTTTCTACCGAATGGACAATTTCTAGAGCGACTACTCCTTTGCATGAGCTTGGCATCACCACCCCATGGGATACTGAACTGGATATGCATTCCCAACGACCGGGGTTTCAACCATTCGAATACATGGTCGGTGGGCGATATATCGGGGAGTTGGTCCGAATCATCTGTTACGACTGGTTCCATCGGTCCCTAGGAATCTCGCGGTCTGCCCTGCCCCTGAAACTAGTCAAGGAATATTCTCTCACAACAGATTTTCTCTCTCTCTTTGTGGCACCCAATTACTCCAATGAACGCTTAGCCAGCGATCTATCAAAGCATTTACCATCTCCCCCAACGAGCAGTTGGAGTTGGACGCCTGAATTAGCAGGTGATGTTCGTGCCATTGCAGCGGCAGTGCAGGACCGAGCTGCTTCTTTGGTGGCTTCTTCAGTTGTTGGCCTTCTCGCCTGCACTCGGGAGATACAGCTGCGGAGTCCTGACTCTCTAAACGCCAACATCGATCAGAAGTCGCATGTTGCGTCGAAGGTTACTGAACAATGTGAATTACACAGTAGGTTTTCGTCCAAATCAGGCTGGAAAAACGGACCAGAGGAACTGGCTGTAGCTGTCTCAGGCGGAGTCATCCAACACTATCCTCATTACAAGGAAACTGTTCAGAGATATATCGATCGGCTCATCCTATGCGCTGGACCACAGGAAGGAGGTAAAAGCGTGTTCCTTCGCGAGGTCAGTGACGGCGGAATAATTGGAATCGGGGTTCTAGCAGGAACAGCCTCAGGGGAGATTGGAGAAATCATTAGTTCCTCGTTAGAAAAAGAGAATGGATTGCTTTGATAAGCGTAGTCTCGAATCACGGCACCTAACTCGAGATTAGAGATGAGATTGAGCTGATTAGCTAGTTCGACATAACTACTCTCTACCTAGGTATCTCAAGGTATGGCAATTTAGGTAACTACCTTAAAGGTACATCCAGCATAGGCTGTCACTAAATGAAACCTGTGGCCATACTCGGTATGGCCGTGATCCGATCACGTGATCCTGCATCCTAGATTGCTCCTACCATTTGTATGATAGTAAACATACACTATACAGAGTAACGAATTAATGACATATATTCATATTCTTCCTCCATATTCGATTATTTTAGAAGATCTAGTGAAATCAGCGGCACTGTTTGCACAGTCTGTCTACAGCCATAGAACCACCCGTCGGTTGAAGCCAGATTGTTGCCATTTGCTACATCGCTAGATTTCTTTCGCCCACCATGAGCCTTGACGTGGATGGCTGCTCTGAGCCGCAAAACAATTCATCATCAGGAGAAACAGAGGTTGTGATTTTTGGCTGCCGGAAATCGAAGCTTGCCCTCGTCCAAGCTCGCTGGGTCACATCCAAGCTGGGCCAAACACTCGATCCCCCTCCCACCTTTCAAATTGCCACCGGCAGTGCCGTTGGCGATGCTGATAAACAGACACCCTTTGCGGTCCTCTCCAAGCTGACCGGTGGCTCCGACATTGGTAAAAGCCTATGGACCAATGACCTGGAATTGGACTTGGTGGCCGGCAAGGTTCACTGTCTGGTGCACTGTTTAAAGGACATGCCGACCACGCTACCGCCGCATTGTCTCCTGGCCGCGGTCCCCGAGCGGGAGGACTGTTCCGATGCTGTTTGTATGCGGTCCGATCTGAAGTTCACATCCATCGATCAATTACCCCCTGGTTCCGTAGTGGGAACGAGCTCTTCCCGGAGGAAAGCGCTGATTCGGCGGAATTGGCCTCATTTGGAGGTTATAGAATGTCGCGGCAATGTGTAAGTGATGAGATTTCTCCTTTTTTCTCTAAGGATTCGGCTCTTACTACTACTACTACTACTCAATGGTATCTCTGCCAGCGCAAAGCTTGATTCTTGATTTTAATGGGACCCTTGTATATATTAGAGATACTCGTCTTGCTAAGCTGGACGCACCTTCTTCCCGGTTCTCATGCATTCTCTTGGCGACCGCAGGACTGTTACGCCTGGGACTCGGCCATCGGATTACGCATCGACTGGATGCTAGTATATTCCCTTATGCCGTAGGTCAGGGCGCCCTCGGGCTCGAGGTGAGCACGGACCGTCCAGACATACTCGAGCTGGTCCGCCATGTCGACCATAAGCCGTCGCGATGGCGCGGGATGGCAGAGCGAGCGATGCTTCGAAGCCTTCAGGGAGGATGCTCGTCCCCAATCGGCGTGCAGTCTTCTCTGGAGCCCCTAGAAAAAGAAGAAAACGGATTAACAGAGGACTCACAACGAGGCCGTGATGGTAGCAGCGGCGGCAACCTTTGCTTGCGAGCCATGGTTCTTCATATAGAAGGAACATCGGAGATTGTTGCTGAGGACGTGGCAACCGTCCGGTGCGACGAAGAAGCCGAACAACTCGGTGTCTCCGTCGCGAACATGCTTCTTGCCAAGGGGGGCGCGGAGCCTAATGCCCAAACATTTCTAGATTTAAATCGCCCCCTGGAACGGATTTGGGACGGGGGGAATCAGCCTCGAACAGCGTCTTTACACAAGTCTTGACTGACATGGAACTGGTCCTTCAAATCTCTACAAACATGTATAGTAGAACTGTTTCACCGGGAGGAGCAATATAACGACTTCGCGGGGCCATTCTTCAACTTTGCTTTCACCCAACTCTTACTACGAGAAGCGTTACTTTCCAATCGAAATCTCTGCTGCTTTTCCCTGCTTCACAAAACTCTCAACCTCGGCCGCCCCTCGCTGTGAGGAGGGAGTGAACATCAGGGCCAAGAAATCCTTGGCCTCAGGCAACTGGCTGCAGCAAAAGTCAGGCTGGAGCAAGGCGAGGTCATCTACCTTGTAGCTCCCAGTAGCAACGGCAATGACCGAGCAACCAGACTGCTTGGCACATTCAACGTCAAGAGGGGTGTCTCCCACAATGATGATATCATGTGCGTTGATTCCAAGACCATAACACGCTTGCAGCTTGGCGAACGAGTCTTGAAACAAGGTATGGCGATCAGGGTGAACATCTCCAAAAGACGAGATCTCAAGATCGAATATGCTGGTATCGATTCCCGCTGCACGTAGCTTGAGCAGAGCGTTTGGTCGCGAATTGCCTGTTAGCAGGCCAATGTGAATAGGCGGATAACAGTGCTTGTCTCGGTACTCCGTGAGCCATCCCAGCATTTCCTTTGCACCCGGGCAGGGCACTGCCGGTAACCCTCTTGCGTTAGAATCTTCCAGATACTGCGGGTGCAGTTGAAAGAATGTCTCCGTAAGCAGGGATTTATCATCCACACCGTAATAATCGAGGATGGAATGGAGCAAGCTTAGGTCCGTTTGACCGTGGAGGTTCACTGGTGTATTGGCATGAGTAATGGTTTTACCCACCACTGCGCTGACACAGGAAAAGTACGCGTCAATGCTGAGCTCTTCCGAGCGGCAGAGTGTTCCATCGATGTCAAACAAGACCACCATCTCCCGTCGAGGAGCGTGAGGCTTTACAAGGACTCGCAGCAACTCTCGGGAACCCGAGAAGGAGGCTCGACCATGCAGATACCGATGATTGTCAAGGATATATCCCTGGCCGGGTTGTAGCGAGACAACAGAGGCATTCTCATAAATGATGTCCTGCAATCTGGAAAAGCGAGATACCATTGACGCAGATAGCTGGATGCTATCGTCGAACCTGAATCGGAGAATACCTCTCCTTCTGTCGAAGATGGCCCTTGGGACGAACACTTCGTCATCAGATCGGAAGCTGGTGTGCTTTGAGTTTGTGATCAAATCGTACAGCTTCTCGTCCTCTTGTCTGAGAGCCTTGAGCACCCGATAGCCATCAGCCAGCAGAGACTCGCCACCGGCTTCTGATCTACTCTTAAGAGTGGACATCAGAATTCCCGGTGGTTCGTCCCATCCACTGCGATCCGTGTGAAAGAACAGCTCTGGTGGTTTGTATATGTCAGCTGAACGGGTCCTACACGGCATTTCCTCACAGACTGGAAGTGTACTGCTCACCTTCAGAGCTGTATCCTTTCCCTGTCAAGTCGGGTGCAAATCGAATATGACTTATGCCACTTCCATGAGTCTTCTCATTTCGGGGTCGAACTATCTCCCCGAGTTGATTACCCAGGTGCACAAGAGAGGTTTCATCACACTCTTCGACAAAAGCAATGCCTTTGGTGAAGAGATCTTGACGGACTCCATCAATGTCAGAAGCCAAGTGGAACTCCGGACCTAGTTGGCATACATTAGTGTAAGTGCATTATCAAAAGACTCACAGAACATACTTTGCGGGCCCAAACCACACTGTGTGACATCCATAGTTTACTATCACTTGAGGGATGGATATAGATGACTAGGTTACTCTTCACACTTATTCAAAAGCCTGACAGGTCAGTAATCGACACCGAGATTTCGACTCTTTATATAGTTTACTCGGGACAGAGGCTTATACCTCACCTACTTGCATGTGCACATTGAATTGAACTTCTCCTCTGACCGAAATAGTAGTATCTCACTCCTACTATACTAAGGACTCTGACCGATCCATCCATCACATTATCCATGCACTCGGACTATAACTTCCCATTCAATAAGGAGCACATCTTGCTGGCCTGATTCGCCTTCTCCTTCTGACTACTGTGGTTGACCCTGGTTGTTTCGTTAGTATGGTGGGACCTTGCAAGGTTGCGAACCAAAGTACTGAAATCTATCCACCACTGCCTTCCTAATGAATCATGGAATAGAGCTACAAGGCCTCCCATCATGGTGAGCCTAGTGAGCGCCTATTCTCTAGCAACACCATCACCAGCTGACAATGCTTTTCCCAGAAGCGAGCATCCCCTCAGCACATATCTGAGCAGAGAGTAACTCTTTACGCCTTGATCGCCATGTTCTAACCGTATAAGGTGCGATCTTACCTATCAAAAGATTGCTAGCATCTCGCATTCCTAGGTTCAGTATAAGGCTCAAGACAGTAAAGGACTTCCAGAGAGGCTCCTGGGCCCTTGGCCAGCCACCAAAGCTCGCTGAATATGATGTTGGAAATATCATAGCATTTATCTTTTCATCTAGGGAAAACCGCCGCATGGCTTTCATGAACCTTATCAAGAACAATGGTCTGTATTGGACTAACTGCTCTTGTTCCTGCATTATAGGAATGAGGTTATATGCCCCTTTATCAGATCATAAGGAGTGGGTATGTCTTGGCTGGGCCCGCAGCATGTGCATTGGATAATATAGTAATGGAATCAGGTCCTTGAGTCTGATAATTATGAGAATAGGTTACATCGGCCTTCCATTAGTCAATAAGTAAATCTGTGTTACTGGGAAGGCTGGTAGAGACTAGAAGAGACTTGCCTTCACACCTCTCCTAAACATGCGGATGTTTAGGCTTATTTCCGGGTTCTTCTAAAAGACCATGTCTGTTCTGGGAGAAGGAATGGAATCGATTCATGCAGAGGGATTCTCTGAGATGATGAGTCCTACAATTAATAGCTATCGTTACCGACTTAGGTGGCAAGATGTCTGGCTCTGGTAAATGCACGACGGTACATTTGACCATTATGATTGAGAGAACACAGTTGGCGGCTCCCCGGTCAGTGGACCATGAATGGACAGTGGCAGTGAGTGTGCACCATTCCACTCCAGAATAAGCCAAACCCATGTCTGTCAAGGAGATATAGACAAGGAAAAGGAGGTTATTTCAGCAAGCGCTGTTGAGCTTGCCAATCAAATACTAGACATCCATTACCCCTCAATGAGAATACATGTTAGGGCTCAGCGACCTGGTCTAGTTGTCCACCATGAATAGCCTGTCATACGCGTTCTTCTGAATGTACTGATTTACCTGCATAAAACATCCAAGATGGCCAGTTCTAACATTTCACAACACCTCACTCAAATTATGAGTACGAAGGAGCATGAGCGGTCTTTATGGAATGAGCAACGTAAGCTGGAGTTGGCGTCGGTTCGGGCCGAAAGTCTTGACTGTATATAAAACTCTATTATAGAGCACGGAGGGCCGCTTTCACATAAGCCACTACTCCGTATCATGATTTCTCTTGAGCTGTCACAGGCTGAAGGCTGCAGGTCCGCTGGACGCCTGTGGCGGTTGCCTTGAAAAGGGTACCTATGTCTAGGCCAACCACAAGTGCGGGGTACATGGTTGATATTATTATCAGACAAAGAGCTTGGTAAATGCTAAGCAGTTCGTTCCGAGTTTACTGAATGCGTCCGTTTTACTGGTCTTTCCCAATCTTACCATTTCGTAGTAATGCTAGTATCTCCCAGCTTGTTTTACTGTCAGATGTTAGGGCTGAATCTCTCTTTAAGCATTCACTTCCCTTCCTGCTTCGCATGTAGTTTCTCTCAATACTTCTCTACCTAGACTGCACTATCCAGATGATTTCACCAACCAAGAAGATATTCCTCATTGCCAGCCATGTCTCGTTGTCAGGGCTCCTATACGGACTAGACACAGGTCAGTCAAGCACGACCAACACTAAGACGTCGAAAACCATTGAATAAGATGAGCAGGTTCGATTGGTGTCATCACCCAAATGGACCAATTCGCCGCGTCCATCGGTCTCTTAACCTCCATGCAACAAGGAATTTATGTCTCCTGCATCCTCCTTTCCTCCTCCGTATCCTCTTTAGCAAGCGGCCACATCTCCGACCGGATTTCGCGAAAATATGGACTCCTCATCGGCAGCATCCTCTCTCTTATCGGGACCGTCATTTCCGCATCTTCGCCCAATTTTGCAGCACTGATCGTCGGCCGTCTAATCACGGGAATGGGAATGGGTCAAGCCATTTCCGTCGCGACGGTCTATCTCGTGGAGATCGCCACGGCGGATATCCGTGGCGTGACCGCCTGTCTTCTGCAGCTTTTTGTGGTAGTTGGGATCATGACTGGGTATTTCATCGCATATGGATCTCATCAGTTATCAGGCAGCATGGCCTGGAGATTGCCGTTCATCGTGCAAGCGGTCATGGCCGCTGTTCTCTCCCTCGGGTTGCTGTTCCTGCCTTTCTCGCCCCGGTGGCTCGTCCAGGCCGGTCGAAGTGATGATGCCAGGCGTGTCTTGACTAAGTTACGGACAGCGACAGCAGTCGACTTTGAGCTAAGTGAGATCCAGCAGAGCTTACAGTCAGATAGACACAAATCAGTTGCCAGCTGGGGAGAGATATTTGGCCGAAAGTATATTAGCCGAACGTCGCTTGGAATCTTTCTAATGTCTTTCCAACAACTAACTGGGGCAAGTAGCTTTTTCTTTTGGCTATATTCATTGCGTCCTACTGTGTGAACCAGTTCTTAATGGAGAGCCAGATTGACGTTGTCTTATATTACGCCCCAATCCTTTTCCGACAAGCGGGTTTCACTTCCGAAAAGGCCTCGTTTCTTTCCTCAGGGGTCACCGGCATCGTGATGTTGGTCTGCACTATCCCAGCTCAGATCTGGATTGACCGGTGGGGGCGCCGGATGCCCCTTGTTATCGGAGGATTGGTGATGGCGATTTGCTTCATTGTTACAGGGTCACTATATGCCAGATATGGTCACACCACTGCGGATTCGGTCATTCTCACTTCGACTGCAGCACAGTGGGTAGTCATTGTTTTGATATATGTGTTTGTGGCCAACTTTTCCTGGTCGTGGGCGGTGGTAAGTTCTTTTATACCTTGGACGGAGCAAAGAACCGGCATTATAGGTTTGAGGATAAACTTACTAACAATGCTGTATAGGTTGGTAAAATCTACGCCTCGGAGATTATCCCTACCAGGCTTCGGGCCAAGGTCTGCGCCTTGGAATTGGTCGCTAACTGGATCGTGAATTTCATTGTGACTCTCACGGCCCCTCTGTTCCTACGGTCGTCGCCCAGCGGTCCATACTTTCTCTACGGCTTTGCCACCATCCTTTCTGCGGCAGTCTGCTACTTGATGCCGGAGACAAAAGGACAGAGTCTGGAGAAGATTGAAGGTTTATTTGAAAAGGGGGGAGATGGGGAGGAACCTCGCGTATAGAGGTTATCCAGTCAGTTTTATAAGCAGCACTTCGACTCTGTTAGACAAGTCTACATCAGCAATTGCTACTATACTGGACGGGGTTAACGTCTCGGTCCACTTGTGGTTTGTAGCTCCTCGAGCTCCTCTTTGTATATGCGCCTGTAGATAGCCTGTCGTCAACAAGACTATCCCCAAGATGATCCTCGCCGCTGGCGAGACTGGCCTAACAGTCCCTCTGCCGGCGTATCCGAATGAGTGAAAGTAGGAATTCATAAGACTACACCCTATACCTTGCCCCCGTAGCGAACTTTGAATCATAGACGGACGTGCACACGCGGAATGGAAAGTGACCAGACCATCAAGCCAAGGTATGCCATAGTGCTCCTCTATTTATCTCAATCCAGATCTCCGTCCATGCAAAGTTTAGATTGTATCTGAAGGGAATCACTTGGTTATTCTCCTATGTCTTAAGCCGCTGAGCTAATGAGCCTTAGCAAATGCCTCATATAAATCGTGCATGCGTCCCGCAAGCAAGATAGGCACCGTATGACCGTACCTTCCACAAGTACTCCGTAAGTAATTCCTTAGAGCTCTGGGGAAATGAGTCCTACATTTACAAGCATAGCCACTAGCATACGGGCAAGGGAACAGCCCTGACTCCGGGCACCGGGGCTCACTCAAAGTTCAGATGGCATTGTCAGCAACTGCATTAGTTTGCTCCGCCTGTAAGTGGACGAGGCTGCTATGATTATGCTGAGCGGCATAAAAATAACGCTGGTGCAATTATGTGCATAGAGTTGTTGGGAAGACGTGGGGCTCAGGCGACAGCCCTAAGAATTTAAATCGACTAGAGAATTGTTCCAGAAAAGTCGCTCGCCAAGGCAGGGGGGCGGAGTACCCCACCATGAGAATACTTTCAAGAAGACTGGCAATCGAAGGAATAGAATGCCTGCAACGTCAACTACCGAGTCTGAGTGTGACTGGTAGACTACGACAATATCGTCCATTTGATTATTACAAAATGCATAGTTGGGGAGGGAGCCGAAAGCCTTGGAGAGGAAAAGCAATGATGGAAAAGGTCGACATCTAATCCCGAGGAGAGGGGTAGATGTACTCTGGAATGTAGACTCACAGATGCGACTACTTGTGTGTTGTTTCAGGCTTGAATATGAGACAAGAGTATTTCCACACTAGTGCTGGTGGTAAAGCATTCTTCTGGATCAATAGCCAGAGACTTGCAAGTTCTGAACAGGATTGATGGTCATCAACTTCAACGCTGTTAAAAGCAAACGAAGGCAAAAAAGCGATGTAACTGTGGTGGGCAAAACCATCGCTAATAATCAACTACGAAATACCATAGGAGATCATAACTGTATTGACTACTGTGATTGACAGTTTGGTTATTTGATGATAAGCTGTAGAAGAGTGAATCTGGAGGGGTTTAAGGAGGATAGTGACGATGACGAAAGAATAGATAGAGTGGGATAGATGACGGAGAAAGAGAAGACAGCGACCACCATGAGACAGGGACCGTCATGTTCAATATCACCTGCTGGGGATTCATTGTCAGAGAAACTGTGAAACTTCCAGTCCACAATGAATGCCCTTAGGTTACCTTAGTAATATTGTCACTTCTGAGTACATCAAGATCCATGGTTTGCTTACAACGGAGCTGTGGTAACCTCAGGCAGGGTCAGGTACCATCTCTGAGGCAGTAGGGCACCCATGGATCAAATCCGGGATTTCTACTCCACCGGTCCCAGACACTCAACGTATCGAAACATCATGAATGAAACATGGTGAATGAGGCTTAAAGAAGCCCGGTGATCATCATACAACAGTGCCCAATACGAGCCTTGACATCCAAGATGAATGAATGTTAAATAGCCAAGGAGAAGGCGGATCTCTCGGGCGCAATCCTCAGCCACTATCTTTGTCAATGATGTAGTCATGATTAGTGGGACCTCTCCATCTTCAGGACTCAATATAAATACTACTGAGCCGATCTAAGGAAGACTTGAGACTGCTATCGCATACTATTTATTGTTCTATTGACACTTACTGTTCTTTTGATTGTTGACAGAAGCTGACTCTCGGGATTGACAGCGTAAGATCGACTGCGCGTGTCAGTCAGCGAGTCACATCGGCTTGTCTCGTCCTGGGACCTCATCACTTGCAGACAAGTTGCAGCACTACTAACGTAGGTACTGGGCACTACTGTATGTACCTCTGATCGCAGTTGGATCTGTCGATTTTCCCTTCCTCACTCTTCCATTCCATATCATCATCATCATCATCATATCTTCCTTTTCATCAACTCTACCACCTGCATCTTCAAATCCCCACCACGTCTCACATATCTTATTTGCCGTCTTCTTTCAATTCTCGTCGTGCATCAGCCCCCGCTTCTTTCAGTCATACCCATCAAGAAGCCCCTCTTTGTCGCTACCTTGCCCATACTGACACTTACCGTCCCTCATTCCCTGCTATATCATCATACATTGAATCTTTATTCTTTTCATCATCGAATATCCCTTGATACCTTATCCTCGCGCCCCTTGACTCACGGGCACTTTGACTCGACGCCCGACAGCCCGGGTCTTCCAGCAGCCCTTGTCTCTCAGCCTGATTGATCATCACTTTCGTCAGCACCGATCTTCCCCACTTCCCTTTCCTCGCCCCCCTCCATCTTCCAGGCACTTCTATTTCTCTTTTCGTTCCGTTCGATTGAACCCATTTTTATCTCTCCTCGATTTTTCTAGCTCGTCTACTCTTACTTCTATTTCCCTTGCCGCTGTGAACGAATTTCATCCTCATGTCATCTTACATTTACAGAGAACGCGAGCGAGATCGCGAGTGGGACGAGCCTCGTTCCTCCACCGTATCAATCAAGCGTTACGTCATACCTTCAGAGGAGGATCGAGAGCGTGAAATTGTCTACCGTCGCGAAGCCCCCGTCACTGGTGATCGAGAATTGGTAATCCGCCGCTCTACCGAGCGAGAAGAACCCGTCATGGTGCAACGTTACGAGCGAGAGATCGACTATGACACGCGCCCGTACGACTACCGCTCCGAAAGAGACTACTATGATGGTGAGTACCAATGTTCGAATTTAGGTCGAGTAAATCTGACCCTAATTAAGCAGCGCGAGGGCCCCTCATTGTTCATCCCCGTGAATCTGACTACGAGGTTGTCCACCGGTCCGAGGTAGAACGGGAGCCCGCTTACTACTATCATCGCCGGGTCCGCGAATATGACGACGACCGTCGCCTTCGCCGCGAGCTCAGCCCAGGCGACTCCATCTCTCAGACCAGTCGTCGTCGGGACGACCAAGAGTACAGCAGTGATGATAGCATGGTCTATATCCGCAAAGAGACCCGCGAATACGACGACCACCCCCATCATCGACGCCATCTCGCGGAGGGTGCGTTGGTGGGTATCGGCGCAGCCGAACTGATTCGCAATCATCGAAAGAAGGAAGGTGACGAGGTGTCTTCGGGCCTCAGCCGTCTCGGTCACGACGTAGGCGCCGGCGCCTTGGGCGCTGTTGCCGTGAGTGCTGCTTCGCGTGCTCGCGATTACTACCGCAGCAAGAGCCGTCACCGCTCCCACTCATATGATGATGATCGCAGCTCCCGGCACCATCACCATCATCACCACAGCCACAGCCATAGCCATAGCCGCCACAGCCGTCGCAGCCGCAGTCGCAGCCGCTCGCACTCTCACTCTCGTGCCAAGACGTTGACGGAAATCGGTCTTGGTGCCGCTGCCATTGCCGGCGCCATGGCTCTGGCTCGTAAGAAGTCGAATAGCGACAGACGAAGCCGCTCCCGACGCCGCCGGTCTTCCAGTGCCATTCGACCCGGAAAAGATGCCGAGAGTGAGAAACGCAGCCAATCCCGGATTCGGAAACATATGGCCGAAGCTGGCTTGGCGGGTGCCGCGGTGGCCGGTCTGGTAGAGAGAGCTCGCAGCCGGTCGCGCTCTCGAAAGGGGTCCCGTTCTCACAGCAGACTCAGACAGGCGCTCCCTGTCGTTGCGGCCGGGCTGGGAACCGCAGCCGTCACTGGCCTGTACGAAAAGAACAAGGAGAAGAAGGAAGAGGACGGAAAGCGGAGGGAGCGACGTCGTTCCCGGTCTCGAAGCAGGGCCCCGTCCGAGGCCTACCCAGATCCCGCGCGCGATTCGGCTGGTCTGATCGAGTACGGCCAACATCCGGTTACCGGAAGCATCCCTGCAGCCCATTACTATGGCCGGCCTGCCAGTCAGCAGGGTTACTACTCGGATGCTTCTGACCGAGTAGCCCGGGACGCAGCAGGATTCCGTGGACGCAGTCGTAGCCGCAGTCGCAGCCGAGGCGGTAGGTATAGCACCAGCTCCTCTGATACCGACAGGGACGGCGATCGACGACGAAGAAGCAGCCGGCGTCGCAAGCACCGAAGCCGTTCCCGGGAATTGGCCGAAGCCGCTTTGGCTGCCACTGGAGTCGGCTATGCCGCTCACAAGTACAAGCAGAGCAGGGATCGCAAGAAGGAAGAGAGAGAACGGTCAAGTAAGTTTTAGCTCAATAAATACACGAAACGATCTGCTGATTCTGGAGACTAACGGCCGCTTCTAGAGTACGACGATGATTCGTACCCTTCATCGTACCCTTCAGACCTTCCATACCCGCCGTCGCCCCTGCCACCGACACAGCCTGGGGAGAATCCTTACTATCCGAACTCCAACTACTTCCCTCCACCTCCTGGCTCTACACCGGCTCCCGCCGCTCCTGCCGCGCCATATAATCCGGCCGATTACCCTCCTCCACCAGGTGCAGTCCCTCCGGCGCAATCTTACGGTTATCCCCCCGAGCCAGGACCGGACCGGTACGCACCCCGGCCCCGGAGGGCGGATGAGAATGTGAGTGCTGCATGGAACTCTCCCCCTTCTGCTGCCCAGTATCCCATGCATGATGGTGGGTCTAGGGATAGATTAAATCTCTGACATTCAAAAAACCTGTCGCTAATCAGAACCTC